CATATCTATACACATCCTGTTAATACACAGTTTCGGCCAGCCCTACTTCAAATTCCCATCTCTGATCCTGGGGTCTGAGACTTACTGAGATTCTCCTAGCCATCCATCAATGGCATTAACTGTATCCCCCTCTACACATGTTCTGAGCTGCAGCTTCCTGCAGACTACTTGATCATGCAAACGTGCATATGCCTTTCATCATTAGAATCTGTGGGTGTCTCTGGTCCACATGTACCACCTCCCATAATTGTTTTATTCCTTTACAATCATTTTATGGAGTCTTGAAAAGGAGAAATCTTGGCTCACTGATTTGTACAGAAATCAGTTTTACATTTAAAAAAAGGGGGTGGTGGTGGTTTTTTGGTGTCTCAGTCGGTTAAGTGTCCAACTTTAGCTTAGGTCATGATCTCACAGTTCATAGGTTCAAGCCCTATGTTGGGCTCTGTGCTGACAGCTCAGAGCCTGGAGCCGCCTTTGAATTTTGTCTCCCTCTCTCTCTGCCTCTCCCCCACTAGTATGCTCTCTCTCTCTCTCTCTCAAAAATAAATAAACATTAAAACTTAAAAAAAAAAAAAGATCCTGGAGGCAGAATAGGGAGTATATATTTTCAACAGGCAAGATATTTATTCAATTCAATCATTTCCATGTAAAATCAATACATTTACCTTTAAGATTTGTTGTGGTGTCCTTGCCTCTTTACTAAATAGCCTGATTCTCATTTCCTACCAGGATGAAGCTATTAATTCCTGCTAACCCACTTTTCCTATAGTAATTTTTTCTGTTATTTCTCATGTCCTGTGTTCTGAGAAAGCCATAGATGACCAAGCCTAACACATTCAAGCATTTTGAATAAAAAAGTGGCAATAGATTCTGTGGCAGGATTTGAGCTCGTCTCCCAAAATTATGTTCAGGCTGTGTAGCCTAGACCTTGAGACACCAGGCTTGGTGGTTGAGAGGCTTCCGCACTTTCCTACCCTGTTCTAAGGTACGTGAGGGAGCGTAATGAAGAGTTACTAAGGTACCTAGTGTTTTTCATAACATACCATTTGATCTTAATTTCTTGACTCCGTTATTGTTACCTACGAAAATATTTAAAATTCTCTGTGGGTACATTGAAGAACTAATCAGATTTACCCATATTATTATCTATTTTAAGTGTGGTGGCTTCTGATGCTTCTTCCAGCTCAGTGATGAAACCCAAACTCCATTTTCACCACCACTACCATCATCCGGATGCTCAGAGCTCTTGCCTCTACTTTAAGCTTCTAGACTGAAAGATTATCTTAGCCAATGTCTGTGTCTCATTACCTTTTCTTAATGTACTTTTTTACTGTGATCAATGGTTCTTTCTCATCCCTTCTGTTTGCTGCTCCCTCCCCCAATCCACCAACCACCACTCTCTGATTATAACTTCAGGCAAAACCGAAGTTTCCTGGAGAATTGTAAATAATACGGGGAAGCCTGGATAGGCCCAGCAGGAGGAAGTAGGTGTACCTTCTGAGGAGTACCATTCCAAGATTTGTTCATTTGAAATTATTTTTTTTTTAAATTTTTTTTAATGTTTTTTTTTAAATTTATTTTTAGGAGAGAGAGAGAGAGAGAGAGAGAGAGAGAGAGGCAGCGTGAGTAGGGGAGGGTCAGAGTAGTCACAGACTGAACAGACTCCAGGCTCTGAGCTGGCAGTCAGCACAGAGCCCGACGCGGGGCTCGAACCCACGAACCGCGAGATCATGACCTAAGCGAAAGTCGGACGCTTAACCGACTAAGCCACCCAGGCGCCCCATTTGAAATTATTTTTTAATAAGTGCTTAGGCTTGGCAGCTTTTTTCCTTTGATAATTGACTATATACATCATCCTGGATTCAAAAAAATGGCATTTTATATTTCACTAACTTTATAAAAGAAGAATAACAACACAACGTTTTCGTCCGATCTTAGCCAAAAGGCCAAGAAGCGATACAACACGTTTTCAATAAAACCATTCCATTGCTCTTAGTTGGACGTATTTTTTTCCTTGAACCCCTGTGTATTACTTCATTAATACTTGATTAGGTAACTCTTACAATCTCTTATCCTATATAATGTGGACACTTATTTTATCATCCTGCCTGGAGTGATAAGAACCCGTGTGAGGTCAAGGACTCTAACTTACCCAACTTTCTTACCCTGTAACACCCGAAGAGTAAAATAACAGGCACTTCATAATTATTTGAAGGGTTGAACAGAAGCACTTGACACTCATAAATGCATAAAGTTACTTTATTTTCAGTATACATTTAATTTTGAAAAATATAAATGCTAAAATATCTCATCTTCTTCATCTCTTAATTCCATAAAAGTCACAATAGAAAGCTTCATAAAACTGTAAAATACTATAATGTTATAGGAATTTTAGGTTTTATATTGGAAAAAATTATTAGTAATATATTGAAATGTTTTCTGTTCTTTATCATTTGTTCCACCATGTTGATCTACTTCATTTAAAATAAAAAGATGCATCATTTCTCCAAAGTTAATAAAGACTTAAGAGAATAAAAATAAGAATATCTGAAAGTGCGTATTGATTCTGAAAAGTAAGGTGTACAGATATGTACCAGCCATGAAAATGGCTACAAAAGAGGCAACTACTCACTCTTTTCACATTGTAGGACTGGGACAAAGATAACTTCTGGCTCTAAAAGTTTCACTGGATGACTTTAGCCCTGAGTTGCAATTGTCTGTCTGGGAAACACAATTCAGGATTTTAGTATGTACCCATAGAGCACGGAGAAATGAGCTAAGAAATAGGCCACATCCAAATTCCTGGGCTAAACACAACTTGACTGGCTGGCATGTATCATAAAACTTTTTTATTTCAGGCGGCAGCAAAGCTCAATGAAATCATCCTCTGAAAACGCCCAAGGCCCTTCAGCCAGTCAAGTGCTATAAAATATCATTTGATTGTATTCAGCCACTTGGTGCCACTGGGCTTTATGCTCATGCCGTGAAGAGTCGATGTGAAATACCATGGAATAAATAAGAAAATCTCAAGTTCCTGCACTGAAATCATTAAGTGGTATGAAAACACTTGAAGAAAGCTTTGTCCCGTCCCTGAACAATGTCAACCTCTGTAATACAACTCAAATGGTTTCATTTTGTTTTTAAAGGATAGTCAGCAGTCAATACATTTCAAGTACTTTAAAACACAGTTTAAAAAAAAAAACAAAAACTTGGAAGACAATCGTTCTCTGTATTATACAGCAACATGTAGCTGATAAAAGATTTACTCTGTGTGTGTTGGTGCGTGTGCATAAAACATACACAAACTGACTGATTGATGGCAGGTAATCACTTCTCCCCACCCCCCATTCTTGAGGTGGGGGCTTATTAGAGAGGGTTTTGTTTTTGTTTTTGCACATCTTTAAGCCTCCGTCTCCCACCCCCTACTCCACTGCTTGACAGGAAGAGGCAGGATCACTACTGCCTATGGCACAGAAAATAGTTAGGATTCCAAGTCCTGGTCTCACACAGTACAAGAGTGATCGTTATCAGGGAAAACAGTGTCTCCAAGAGATTTTCTTTCAAATGCGAAACCAGAGGCCTTTATGCTCCTTTGATAGGGCCAACTCTTGACCTAGTGATCTCTTCAACAGTAAGTTTGTACCACCACAGGACTTCTGCTTGACATCCTGGGAGAGCATACTTAGTCTTGGAGTCCTAACAACCTGAATATTGCATGTCTCTGCATTCACATCGGAGAATGACACTTTTGAAAAATGTACCGTTGTACTGTATTCTGTGTGTCCCGTTTACACAGAAACAACCCACCCCCAAGTCTGGTTAGCTCTCAGACAATGAGTAAATTCAGTTAAAATGCAGATGATCTGGTGGCTCTGTATGAACCTCAGGTTTCAGCTGCTTGTTTAGTAACTACTTTTGTTCCTCTGAAACTAATGATTTTTAAAAAGTTTCCCTGGGCTCCAAGTTATTGCAAGGGCTTGATATTAACTGTTACTTTTAGCAGACAGAAGGTACTATTCTGCATTCACATCGTGCATTTCAACCTTTCACCACAGCATATGGATCAGAAGTGGATGTGCAGATAGCTTTTAGATCTACTCAAAGGCTGAAATACTGAGTTAAGTTGCTTCAGGAGTTCTTTGAAAGAGATGGAGAAAGGCACAGATCCTGAAATACTTGATTCATGATCAGAAAGACAAAGTATTACATCTAGGGCCTTTATAAAAGTGAATAAAGGTGTCTTTAATTTAACAAGATCATAGGTTAGACTGAACTTATTATGCATGCCTCTTAGACACTTGTTTGATGTTTCCCTTGGTAAAGAAAAAGGAAAAGCTTCTTATATAGTTTTACACTAGAGTAAGGAAGAACTAGGTAGTATAATCATTTTAAGGATAGCTCTAAATACAAACGTGATGCCAAAATGTGGCATGTAAGGTTTTAACAAATAACATGTAATTTGCTGCTTTCATTTCAATGAAAACAAATTGCAGGTCATTTATGTCTAATTTGTATAAAATGTTAAAGTTTTAAGATTATCAGATACTATAAAAGTAACAGCTAATTCAGGATAATAAGATTCTTATAATCAAAGTTTTAAGAGGACAGAATTATAATTAATACAAGAATGAGTGGGAGTCACCATGTGCATATTTTGAAACCAAATAAATGGTTTCATCCTGCTTCTGGTACTCCTCCAGCAACCTGTTTTAGTTGGGATATATCACAAATATGGTTATATAAATCCAAAATTATGAATTCAATATTTAAAGTGTTATTTTTAACGCTCATTCACAACACATAATGTGATCTATTAAAAAGATTACATTTCAATAACATGCCAAATTTGGTTACTAAAGACCCAATTTTCCTTTTTCTAATTTTCAGTATGGTACTTTGAAATATATCCATTCTAAAAAACACGTGTGAGCAATGTTAAAATGTGTGTGTGTGTGTACACACATACACATAGATATATGTGTGTGTGTGTGTGTGTGTATATGTATATCTGCAGATCTATCTGCATTCCCATAAACACTATAGATGTGTCAATGGTCTATTAATATTCCTATGGATTTTGTACTATAAATATGAGCTCTTGGATCAGTGATGGTATCTGGGCAATAAAATATATTATCCTCATTTGCATAATGGTAAATCTCTTAGACCTCTGATGGATTTTTCATATGTGGTTTGGGTTTTATGAAAACTGACACAAGGGGCCAGATAACTACCCATTGCATACCTTTACTCTGTCTCTCTCTAACCGTGCACATATGTGCACCAGCCACACACAGAGTATGTACACAAATACACAAGTATTTCAAAATGAGAAAAAAAAGTCTAACAATACTGGATAGGACATTGACATGGTAATAAAATCAGCATCTATGCCTGGATATTACTTTTATCAAAACATCAGTTATTCCCATTACATAGGAGCCTCTCCCTTCTCCCCCATTCTCTTCATAAAACAGTAAATTTCTCTTAAAGAAAGGGAAAAATGGATGCTTAGAAACATGGTGTGTTTAATCTGATCCAGCCCTCTGGCTTACCTTAGAGATTGTGTATCCGTGTGTGTATGTGTGTGTAAAAATCACATTATATACAATACAATTTTTACAGAAAGCCTGGCAGCTACAAATAAGAGGTAGAACTACTCAAAACTAGGTTTCCTGCTGCAGGAAAAAATTCATTTTCTTTACAGTAATTAAAAAAAAGTTTAAAAAATTGACAAAAAATAAGTTGCAGGTTAGGCCCCATAATTTAAACAACAAAATCTATGAAGAAAAATATTCTTCAATGTACTCAACAGATAAGTTCATTAAAGGGTTAAAAAAAGTTGCATAGGAAAAAGGGATATTCCAGCACTTGCTACAATGATGGCAACGGTTTCTCTACAGGGAGTAAAGTACCTTTAGTTTTTCTTCTTTTGATAACTCTAAGATTAGGGCTTACAAGCAAGAGCAAGTTCGCATTGCGGCACTTTTTCCAGTCCTGGAAAGCTCTAGAAGCAAGAAGGGACTCTGCCTGGAGGTCAAGGTTTATTCTACCAGGCAGACAGACAAGCCAGTAAGCACAGCTCCAAAGCTAAAGTTGTAAGTTCCTTCGATATGTTAATAAAAGGTGTTACAAAATCCTTAATTCTTTTGCCCTCTGCTTAATAAAGGACAAGGACAGGGTCTGTGCGTGTCTTGAGTGACAGAGGAATTTGGTTGTCAGAGGACACATCTGAAAGTGTGAAAAGGGGATTCTTCAGATGTTTTTAAAGAACGGTGCAGTACGGTCTTGATTTTACCTATGCAAGAGAGAAGCAGAGTGAGCACTATGTTATTTGGCCAATGACCAAAAACCAAAACAAAACAAAAATTAAAAAATAAACAACCGGACAAAACCCCAGAACATTAACAACAAAAACTGTCCGTTGTAAAGACAGACAAACAGGTTACAATGTAGTTTCTGTTCCCTTGCTCCTCCAGAAATAATCATTGTCTTCAGGCTCAAGTTCTATCCTAATTTGAGGCACAACTTTTACTGGAGTTCTAGGAGGACTAGAGAAAAAAGAAAAGAAAGAAAATAGTAAGTAAATCGGATTTCCCTCATCACCTGTCCAATATATTTCTGCATTGTGCGGAAGCTGAATGTGTCTTTTGTTCTCTTTAAAATACTCTTCTGCTCTTTCTATATTAAAAACAAATATTCTCAAATGGGAGGAAGGTACCAGAAGAGTCAAGAAACCCAAGTGCAAAATTTCTTAAAACCTTCATACTTCAAAACGACAGAAAAATCAAAAAGGAGGACGGCCGGGTGGGTGATATTGTGAGAACTTAGAACAGACCTACATGAAGAAAATATTCAGAGATTTTTTCCGTTTGGAAAATCAAGGAGGGTCTGAGATCTCTGGAGCCGTGTTAAGATTAGGGAAGAAAACTACTAGAGAGCTGCCAGCAAACTGTAATTATCCCTTCAATCAGAGATGATGCGGAAGCGATAAAAGTGAATGTGGGTCCTGGGCTTAGCCTTAATGATAATGAAAGTTCCATTACTTTGCAATATAGTAGGTCTCCTAGAGTGCTTTCTACATAAAAGCCGGGGAGAGGTGTGGGGATTGGGCAATTGATTTAAGATAACTTGTAGACAGGACGGGAAACGAGGTATTCTGCCAATAACCCACCACGGGCCGCATTTCTGTGGGATGATCGCATTTCTGTGGGATGATCGTCTGTGGGATGAACAATGTGAAATAGCGAGTTGTCCTTTACCTTGGCATACCGAGTGACTGAAGGAAAGGAATTTTATCAGCATGATGTGTGGCGTTCAAGGAATGTTGGTGATCTTTCTCCTGGAAAAAAAAATTTTTTTTAAATCATAAACAGTAGGTTTCGGGAACATATAAAATTAGAGTAAAAATAAAAATTGTCATAAAAATCGATGCATTACAAGAGAAAGGCAAACTTCGACAATTTCAATAGACACTGTATTGACCTAAGAATCTAAGTAATGTGATGAAGATAAAAATCTGTTAGTTTCATTTCCTCTGGGTGAATACAGTGGGATGGACTGCTGTTGTTCTTTTAGGTGAGAGGGTAGGAGGCCAGTCATTTTTAGAGGATCTACTTAATGTCTTAAGTCTTTCCCTTGGATTTCCAGGACAAAATCCACAGTTTTCCTGCTGTTATTCATGGGGAGAGAAGACGATTTTGAGGAACTTGATTATCCTGCACCTCTACTATCAATTGTGTTCTTTCATGAATTATAAAAGATAAATATGACATTAGAGAAGATTTCAGTTAGGATGATCAAAGATATTTTGCTTAAGTAAATTTCTAGTATCGTATCAATTTTCCATGTACCCTTCAAATGGATATTTGAGAGATGAGTAACAACTAGCACTAAAAGAACCATTTGCCATAAAACTTTCTCCATGAGCCCCAAATTCTAGCTGGCGGTGCTTTTTAATTTTTTTTTATTTTTGAAGCAGCCTTCAAACTGTACTTAGGAGGGTCATGGTGCCAACGGAAGACATATGTGCTGTGTCCCTTACACGGTTTTGTTTTGCTATTAATGCTCTCGCATTAATAACATGAAAAATGAAGCCAGAATATAGTTTGAGGAGCTTGAATTCAAAAAAGAAATACTAACTACATCCTGCTGATGGGACTGAGACGAAATTAGCCTCAGTTACATGTTATAGGTTACAGGCTGGACATCAAAGTTGAGACTGTTTTAACTGTTCTTTAAACCTAGTGTGGCAGCCAGCCTCTGAGATGTCCCCCAGCATTGCTGCCGCCTCCCCGTAGCCACGTCCTTGTGTCATTTCTTGCCAGGTTGTACCAGGGCTGGTTTGTGTGTGACCCTTAGAACATGGCAGAAGCAATGGCATGTCACTTCTGAGATTCAGTTATAAAACTGCAGCTTCTGCCTTGGTTTCCCGCTCTGTCCTCACTGGCTCTGGGGGAAACTATATTATGGGCATCCCTATGCAAGTGCCCATGGGCCAGGGAACTGAAGGCCAATGGCCTCCTGCCAATGGCCTTGTGCATGAACTTGGAAGCAGATCCCAGTGCCCCTTGTCTTCAAGCTTAGCCCCAGCCAAAGGCTTGTCTGCTGTCTCACGAGTTGCTAAAGACAGAACCGCTGACATCACCTGCTCCTAAATTCCTGAACATCTGGAACTATAGAAGAAAATATATATTTGTTGTTTTAAGCTGCTAACTGTTGTGGTAATTTGTTAAACAGTGATAGAAAACTAACATATCTATTCTTCATAAATAGCCATCCATTTCAACTCTTCTTGGTAACCTCTTACTGAAGTGGAAGTGGCTTTGTCAAATAGAAATAAAAGTGTCTCAGCTGTCTTTTTTCCCATAACAGATCAGTAGTCTTTGAAGTGCCTCTGGATCTAAAAGAATACATTTTCTTCAAATGAGAACCCAAAGTGAAAGTAGTTTGGAAGCAATTGCTACTTGATATTGGAAAGGCTTGAGATATTCACTAATGTTACTTTGGAGGTTTTCCCCTTTTTCAAGTGGCCTGTTAACTCAATTACCAAAGAAAAGATGGTATGTCAGAAACCATTATACTTCGGTCACCAGGCTACTACCCCAGAAAGACCAGTCCACTTAAAAAGGTGTTTTCGAAATAGCAGGAAAGGAATGAAGAAATTAGGAAGAAAATGTACGATATAAGTAATACCTAAAAAGTTGTATTAATATTTTATGATTGCTAATTAAATTGAAAATAGCAATTATTCCAAATTCTCAATATGTACAATTGATTTGCTGATCATTTAGAGATCCACACTGCAATTTCTCTCTGGAGCCCATTTGGTCATTGGCTAAAAAAAGCCTAAGGAAGACAAACAGTAACAGACAGTGATGTAGTACTATAAGCTGCAATTCTAAATACCAGCAGAAAAAAATATCAGTTAAAAACATGGTTACGAGTTTAGCAATTGAAAGAAACTGGTGAGAATTTTGGTCAGAGAAAAGACTAACAAACAAAAACTTAAAAGGTTATGGATAAAAGAAAGAAGAGTGAAGCTCAAGGAATGTAAAAAAAAGGAGTATTATAATAATGAAGTGTTTTATAATAATGAAGTGTAAATCTTCAAATAGAAAAACAGGAAGAAAATAGAGGGGGAAATTAACATAAACGGTAATTCTAAAGATTTTTCTCTGTAATTGCAAATCATATTTGAGCAGTCATGCAAGAGGTTAGCTCTACTCACTGTCGGAAGGTTTGCTATCACTTAGGAAAGGTTGCTGTTCCATGATGTCCATTGGAATTTTAATACTTGGAACTTTTTCTGAGTATGGGCAGTCAGACTGTGAAAGAAATTTATAACAGATTTTAGAAAGTTTTTACGATACTCCCAGTACTGACCAAATCTATCATATTATCATTTACATTGTCTAAGGAGAAAAGAGTTTGATATGCTCATTTTTACTTGCTAACTTTTCAAATTCTACACAATCTTTCTCACATTTGTTTTCCTCTCTTCTGAGTCAATGGGGTCGAGTTAATTAAAACTAGAACCACACCAAATAGAGATCGCTATAAATTAAAACAAGTATAAAGCTTCCATAAACTGGGTTCCCAATCAGCAACCATTTATGGGTTTGTTGTGTGTATAAAGCAAATAATCTCAATGTGAAACATTAGATCTAGGAAACTTCCTCAACTATAATATGGTCTTAAAATTCTTGTTTCATTTATGCTTTCTGATTTCATGTCCAAGAAAATGAGGACTCATTTCTCCTTCCAAGACAGATAGAAGATTAAAACATTCATGATCAAGGAGCCCTGTAAGTTCAGTTGAAAAAAAACCTCCCCCTCTTTAATACTCTATCAAAACTATTTTGTAGTTAAAGGTTCATTTCCATTTGCTTATACAAAATATATTTGAAAGCTTAGCAAAACATGAGAAAATAAAAATCAAAAGAAAGGTACCAGGCAGCTATTCATGGGGGTGTTTAAAAAACCAGGTCAGCATGGGGCACCTGGGGGGCTCAATCAGTTAAGTGTCTGACTTTGGCTCAAGTCATGATCTTTTGGTTTGTGGGTTTGAGCCCAATGTAGGGCTCTGTGCTGACAGCTCAGGGCCTGGAGCCTGCTCCAGATTCTGTGTCTTCCTCTCTCTGTCCCTCCCTCACTTGTGCTCTGTCTTTCAAAAATTAATAAATGTTAAAACAAACAAACAAAAAACAGGTCACCTAAGCCAAAACTACAACAGATTTTCACAGTATTACCACCTTACTTTTTTTTAAAGAATTCATTATATTGAATCCAAATTAATGTTTAAACTGAAAAGATCAAATCCATCCCTTAACTGAAAGTACCAAAGAGATGGCCTTAACAGAAAGATGGAAAAGAAAAAAAGTAGAGATCAAAGAAAATGAAGAAAAAAGAAACCCTAACATACAGACTACTACATACATTGAAAATTCCTTTAAGGTGAATCTAAAGAGGGTAATAATACGATTTTAAGGGACTAAGATACTGCGTTTAAATTGACCAAAAAAAAAAAAGATGTTACATGCATGTACCTTTATGAGAATGTCAAGAAGGACAAGTTTTAATCACAGTATTTCAAACATTTCCTCAAATAATAGCATTTATGGATGAAGAGGTTGGAAGCCAACCATTAAACATAGCCTACCAGGCAGATCCAAAAATGACAGAGTGGCTCAAAATATTGGCAAGCCATAATTTTCACTACTGGTGACAAAAGTGTTATAACCCCCATGCCCCCCTGTGGCTCTCTATATCCATGGATCCCAGCACCCATGATTACCAGGTGAACACTAGAAGAGCTATCTTCCAGCTCTATAGCCCCCAAATAATAAGCTCAACAAACAGAACTTATTACACACATATACTCTAAATTGCTTGGTTGAGTTCACTAAGACAAATACATAAGCTTGTTGTTTTTTAGTGGGGGCTGGGGGAAGAAGAGACAGAGGAAAAGACAAGAAACAAGTATCACACATTATCTTCAAGAAATCTGTTGGAAATACAGAGCTGGAAATAGTAAATATCATTAATAAAAGAATAGCACTGTTTAAATAAAATATGATATGTTGAAAATTGAATCCAAGAATTAGACGAACTTCTCAGGAGCTCATTTGATCCAACTTTTGACACTAGACAGCATAAATTTAAAACATCCCCAAAAGTTGATAGTTTATTATTTTCTTAAAAGCTATTAGAGATGAGGATTCTATAATACTATTTCCTATATCAGTTATATGTAATAAATTTTAAGTTTGGTGCCAATGTACATAACATGGCATACTTCTTTTGAAAATTCAAGATGAAATACCACTTTAATTATGTCAGTATTTCAGGTGTTCCCTTTTTTTGTCTTGAGTGGTCTAGAAATTAATTTCAAATTTTGATTTCAATTGAATTTGTAAACAGTTTTTAACCATTCTTTTTTTAAAAAAATTTTTTTTAATGTTTTATTTATATCTAGGAGAGAGAGAGAGAGACAGCGTGAGCAGGGAAGGGTCAGAGAGAGAGGGAGTCGCAGACTGAAACAGGCTCCAGGCTCCGAGCTGGCAGTCAGCACAGAGCCCGACGCGGAGCTCGAACCCACGACCGCGAGATCATGACCTAAGCGAAAGTCGGACACTCAACCGACTAAGCCACCCAGGCGCCCCTTAACCATTCTATTTAACACTGCACCCTAATCTATACTGCAATTTAAACACATTCTCCTTCTCTGTCATCACTGGAAACAGAAAATCTATACACCTGTTCTCACTGAAGATGGATGATGACAGTCACAAAACCTCCCTCAGACTCTCTTTCTCTTTAGCTAAATATGCCTCATATATTTAGCCTTTTTTTTTATTGGATCAATTTATTTGAAATCCAATTTTGTCTGTTGCCTTCCTTCACTGTACTATTTCTAAATTCTCCACAAAAAAAAACAATCAGACAGCCTGACCAACTGGAAATAACCAGACAGGCCTGGACCAGAGTTTTGGCTTTGCCACTATGTCTGTGTGCACTCAGAAAAATGACTTAACGTTTCTCAGTCTAAATTTTCTCCTATATAAGAACAAAAGCGTACACTCTAAGGGGCTGTGACGGCAAGTAAGGACAAGTATGCATGATCAATCAAAAAGATCCAGTACAGAGTAGACAGCAAAACTTAACCATACTCCCACTTTAGAATTATATACCAGGGATCCAATTAGAATGGGGATACTCCACTGTGTAAAATCCAGAACAAATCTTCACATAGAAAATGTCACTTTGGCCATCCTTTATCCCAGTCTACTGGGATAAAAATGTGTGTGTGTGCGCGTATGTGTGTGTGAAATAACCTCAGCCTTTCTCCTAGCACTGGTTACAGACCCCTACTGCAGCACTCGTGACATGATCTCCTAAAGATAAAAAAAATGGGCAATAATTTTATTTCTCTAACCTTAATCACCCAGTTGTAGGAGGATCATTTGGAATACAAAACTGACAACTACAATTCTGTAAAAAGACCCTAGGGTCCATGACCCTTTCCTTTTCACTGAAGGGTAACAGGGAAATAATCTTAAATCATGTCAAAGTTCAGTGTGAGGAGAAGTACAACAGCGGAGGACTTTGGCTGAGAGCCTACTCAAATGGATATATAGATCGCAGGAGGTGAGGTCACAGGTGTTTGTCCACATTAGGCTTAAAATTACATAAAACGAAGTTATCATCTCAAATTTAAATCCTGGATTATCATTAGCAAAACAAATACATTTTACAGCATTATGAAGCAAATTTTCTTTTTATCTGTGAAATGGAAGGTTGGAGATCTTTAGATGTGGTGGGGTGTTTTTTGGGAAAGTCAATTTATTGCTATCAGTATATTAATGGCTACAGAAAGACTTCAGAAAAAAAAAACTAAAGAAAGAAAATAAAGGGCAAAGGAAGACTGGCATGTAACACGGCCAAGTAAACATTCTCTGAATTCAGCCATATATCTCACATAAAGTATATATACATATTATACTTTATATAACATACATATATGTTTCACATTTATTTCTTTAGCTTTACTGTGGAGTTTTGGAAAGCCTTACATCATCATTGTCACTGTCCAGACTTCCTTTCTTCTTTTTCTTTTTCTTCTCATCTTCCTTCTTCTTCTTGTCCTTTTCTGGAATGACATCATCGAGGAAGCTGAGGTCATGTTGGGAGAAGAGGTAGTCCATGCCTTTTCTGACAGCTACAAGTGCCAAGATCTGCAAGGACAAATATAGAAAGTATGAAAGAAACAATGTCACATAAAGTCATAGTGAGTATTGATACTACTCTATTAAAGGCATTTGAAACTTAGCTTGTAGAAGGCTAGAATATGATAGAACTCATCTTGCTTATATAGATTTATATTAAGTGGACCGCAAACATTTTCTTTATGGGGAAAGTTGGCTCATAAAAGTATTAAGTTGGGGTTCCTGGGTGGCTCAGTTGGTTAAACATCTGATTTCGGCTCAGGTCATGATCTTGTGGCTTATGGGTTCGAGCCCTTGCGTTGGGCTCTGTGCCGACAGCTCAGAGCCTAGAGCCTGTTTTGGATTCTGTGTCTCCCTCTCTCTCTCTGCCCTTCTCCCACTTGTACTCCCTCTCTCTCAAAAATAAACATTAAAAAATTGTAAAAAAAAATTATTAAGTAAAACTCACTTTGTTCACTGAAATTTATGATCACATTCACTAAGAACTTCAACATGAAAGGATTATTTTTTAAGCCGTTTTCTTCTATGTCAGATTTTTAATAAAATGGCTGAGAGTTTAAAGGGAAAAAACAGCCTGCATATGATTTCTAATTATTCAAAATTAAAACATTATGCAGGTTTTTGAAAATCAAGAAAATTTGTACAACATACAGTACACTAAAACATCTTCAAAGTACTAATAATGAGACAGTATTTGAGTACGCACAGACCATTTAATCTACTGGGAGACTTCAATCACTACCATGACCTGAAAACTTACTGTGTGACAGATGTTGTGCTGAACTCTTAGGCAGAATTTTCTCATTTCTTCCCACCACAAACTCAAAAAGTAGATATTGTGATCTCTATCTTGCAAGTGAGGAAACTAAGGCTTAGAGACATTAAATGTATCATCCAAGATCATAAAGCCAGGTAAGGAAAAAAATACAAAGGGCCCCCAGCCGTCTACCTCTAAAATCAGTATTCTTAAAATACATATCTTTGATTCTATGAGTTACCCTTGAAGAGTAACTTCTAAAAGTACATTAAAAAATAAAAAAAATAAAAGTACATTAAAGATGTCTTTGCTCAAGAATAAAATTAGTATGCACTAGGATATAAGAGTCGTGACCATCTCCAGTTAAACACTTGGGTTCATCCACATCATGCTCTCTGTATGTCCATTTTTTCATCTGAGAGAAATTAACAACATCTGCCCTACTGATATTATGATATTGTTTTGTGATCAAACAAAAGCTCTGGGAAGATAAAGAATACTTTATACAGATGACACATTCATTATTATTATTTATAGCGCAAGTAATAGGTGATTTACTGGATACATTTTAAATTTATCCAGGCCTAACTCTGTTTTTCCTGCCTATAGCAAAACTAATACGTAGATTGTACCAATAGGCAAATGGGAGTCATTTCTCACACTCGTGTTTTCCAGTAAGCTAACAGAGTTTAAGGATAAAAAAAAAAGGGATATAAGGAACCATCAAGAATATTACTAGTATTTTTATATCATTTTTTCTGCTTCCTTCCTTTTTTTTCCCTTGGAGAAAAAAAAAATTACAAACAACAAATACACAGAAGATAAATTAGGGGCACCCGGGTGGCTCAGTTGGTTAAGTGTCCAACTCTTGATTCTGGCTCAGGTCATTATCTCACGGTTCATGGAATCGAGCCATAGGGCTGTGCACTGACAGTGCAGAGCCTGCTTGGGATTCTCTCTTTCCCTCTCTCTCTGCCCCTCCCATGCACATTCTCTCTCTCTCTCTCATTCAAAATAAATAAATATCCATTTAAAAAAGGATAAAATAATAATCCTGGGTAAGAGTACAAGGATTTTTATAAAAAATAAAATATGGTCTGTGTATGAAAATTCCATGGGGGAGACAAAGCAGACTGAGAGGCTGGCTTGGTGACTTGTTTCAAGTGTACACATGTACATTTTCTTGCAAGAAATGGAAAGTTATGGTAAAGCATAAAATTTAGTGTCAAAGCCAAAAATAGACCTAGCATTTCCTTTGTTACTTCTTTCACTTGTAATTCTAAGTGCAATGTTAGTCATCTTACCTTGTGTCTCATCATATCACGGCAAGTATCGAGAGCCCAGACTTATCCTTAAACTTAGCATGACACAAACCAGCCAGCACTTCAAAAACTGCACTTCTCACTCCATTTCTTCTAAGTCATTGGATGATCTGTCAGAAGCTGCCAAACTTGTTTCCTTATTATTTGGACTGAAATGTGTCATGCTTTGTTATTTAGACTGATTCTATTATACAATATTTTTGAAATAACTGATGTGTACTGATGCCTACCTAATGCCAGCCATTATGCTATCTACTTGATATTTATTAGTGATGCTCAGAGTAACAATACTAATGCCATGCCCATTTTACAAGCAGGTTAATGGCAGCTCATGAAGGCTCCTTGATCAGCAGAAACTAGTGCTGGTATCTGGACTCAGCTGAGTTTGACACTACAGTCCAGTATAGATGACCACAGACATAGGAACCTTAAATGACAATGGATCAAATCAACGTTATTTGGTCAAAGCTGGAAAAAAGTAGAACCATACAGAAAAGACATTTATATCTTCTATGTTACAGTAACAAGTGATATTGATATGATTTGATGGGTAGGTTCAATGAAAGGAATCCCTACCATGACTGGAAAAATGATAGCAGCCACCGTGGACTTGAGGATCCAGAGCAGGGCTAGACATAACACCTGTAAAAAAGTGAACAGGTGGACTCTGCGTAGGGGGACGTGGCGCAGGTAGATAAAGTCTGGCTGATGCTTCAGGGGCATCAGAAGCAGCTTCAGGCGATCCATGAACTGGGAAGGAAAGACGACAGTACAACTGTATTACTTCCAGAGCTGATACACAAGCTCTTTTCCACAATGCCTAACTAATGATTAGTGATTTATATACTATAATTTAGGCAAGCAGTGTCCTTTTCAGAGGACATTGGTCAGGGAGTGCACAAATTTAGTCCAGCACAGTGAGACATAATAAGAGTCTTCCAATTGTTATTACTTTGCAGGAATGTTATGCAGATCTATGAGATAGAGTGGCCACCAAAGAATAAAGTCACAACGCCAAATATAAATTCTAGATGCTCATCTCTTCCTTTCTATTTTTACTATCTGAGTCTCGGAAGAGAGAATCTTGTGACTAATTTCGTCATGATGTGCTGAAGGAAGACATCTAACTCATGTATCTTACTCTGCCTTGGTCACCTTACCTGAAAGAAGAGAGGATGCTACTATGCATCATATGCATTTCAGGGATGTTTCAAGGATAGAAAGGAAGGATCCAACTTGAAAATGGGAATGCATTGGTATTTTCATCAATTGCACATTATTTATCTATGGCATAACTTAACTAATACCATGCAGCAATTCATTACCATTTCTTTTCAAAATAAAGTCATATGACTTTTATAGTGAATTTCAGAGTGTCAACAACCAGATATTTGAATCTAGGGGAGGCTATCACAGTGGCTACACGGACCACTGAGTACCTCTGTGCCAGGTGCTGTGCCCCAAAGATTAACTGCTGAATTCACATTGGCAGTGATGAGAAGGATGATATTTCGGTACCTACCATAGGATCTTTCAAATAAAAGATATTCAATAAATAGCTGCTGAATGGACTTATGATGGAATAAGACTCTGAAGTAAAATTTCTGCTTTTTTTTTCTAGAGGAAAGGGAGAAGTGTACAAGTAAAGGAGACTGTTACGGACAAGCTTCTCAGAAGCAATTTCCTATGAAACAAACTTTCTTTCTCTGTCCAGCCTACTTTTCATGGGAGGGGGCCTTGCTGTTTATGAAGATTGTATTACAAAATTTCTTGCTAAATCAATCTTGCCAAAAGGTCTAAAAGAGGGAGAATCCAGAGAAAAGTAAGGAGAAAAGGCAACAGGGGCAGAAGCAATGCTGAATTTAAGAAATCCACTAGCTGTCCCTTTAGCAAAGGATTTCCCCCCATCACTATGAAATTCTTGATTTTTTTGCCTTCTGTTTAATTTAATAAACATGTAAGGAGCTCCAATCATCAGTTAAAGACGTAAAGTCAAACTTCTGATCTCAAGTGACATATTTAAGGCAAAAACAAAAGCAAAAACAAAGAAAGAAAGAAAAGTAAAGTAAAGAAAAAAGAACCATTAGTTTGGCAGCCACTGTTAGTTTTATATTTTTCCATTGAGGGAAAAAAAAGAATATTGACAATGCCAGATAAAATAAAGTATTTTTTTGTATATTTGTACTTGCCCAAAGTTTCATAGGCACAAGTACATTCCCCCATTCACATTCATCTAGTGCAGTCTATGAAGAACCACCTTGTACTTTGTGACAAATATCCAAATGGGATCTAAAGAAGGGAAAACAGAATAGCCTTGTCTTCTTTTGGGGGTCTGGCCACCTGCCCAGCTCTATCTGACTCTAAAACCAAATTAATCTAAATTCAATAAATGAAAGCAAGGACTACTATGAAGGGGTTTAAATGAATTCTTAGGATGTTCACAGAACATGCAGTCTTTTCCCATTAAAACATTAGTAAGTGCTAAATAAGGCTACAATTAACAAGGTGCCAGAAAACAGCAGAAGTACTTCCAGTTTCCTGGTGCCAATTAAATTAAACCTCAATTGAAAGACAAAGTCCCTTACAAAGTTCTCCCTAATGATTTTTTTTTTTTAAGGGGTCAGTTTTACCCAAATTGTGGATAGCTGAAGTTTTGGACAAAAGTAGCACTAAACCACATTGACTTTATTCTTTTATTGGTTCAAAACTTTTGATCATTGATCACAGCCATGTGAAAAGTAAATCAAATAACAGCCTGTTCTTAGTACAGTTTAAAGGCAAAGAGATAAACAGGATCTTAAGGAACACACTGGAAGGGTTAGATTTCCTTCTTGAGATGAAGGTGGGAGAAGGACAGAAGGGAGGGAGGGAGGTGATCTGAGGTCATCTCTCATTTTCCTAGTGAAATGACCTTCCACAGCTTATGGCAAGAATGGGTATGTATGATAACATTTGTTAACACGAATTAAGTTTGTGAATTAAATCAGAAATAAAAAGCAGCTGTATGGCAGAGAAAGTAGCAAACAAATGCATTTTCTTTCCTTCTTTAACATGCAGTGTCCTATTATTTTTGGTGTACAATAGAATGATTCAACAATTCTATACATTACTCTGTGCTCATCACCATAGGTGTACTGGCAATCCCCTTTCTCTACCCACCCCCCTTTGGTAACCACCAGTTTGTTTTCTGTAAACATATGCATTTAAAAAAAACTTAGTTAATGAGTAGCACTTTTCCTCAAAAAGATCTGTTATTGGACTACTCTTACTACTAGAAAAAATACAATTATATTTAGATTGCTATGGAAAACTTACTTGCACACCATTAAGGGATGCTACCCCCATATACAGGAACACACCGTACAGTACAGGCATGGGAATAAACTAGAAAGAAAAAAAAATTGGAGAGAGGTTAAAGACAACAATAAGAAGAACAGTAATGAAAGAGGATAATTTAAGTAAAAGCCAAATCTGAAACTAAAAGATAGAAGGACATATTAATATAGTGGCTTCAGATTAGCGTGCTTTACTTATCATTGATAAACTTCTAAACTCTGTGTTAGAAAGAAATGGAGACTTTCAACTTTCATTTGATCCTGTTTGTATTTTTTTAAACAATGACCATGCATGACCTCAAAAAATAATTTTTTTAATGGGAAAAAAAGTTTGTTTCCCTTTCCCCTTAAAAGGAAAGATTATGTAAACCAGATGTTTGCAATGGACTGTGAGGTAGAAAGAGAGGCTGATGGGTGCTGAGCTCCTGAGACCAAGTTCCTTTCCAACAGTCTGTTGATTTTTTCCTTAATAATTTTTGCCAAATGATCTATTGGCTTGGTGCGTAAATGACTCTCTCAATTAAGGAAACATCAAGCGGCTGTCCCCTTTCTTTCTCGCAGGAATATTAAGGGGACTAACTAATGAGAACACTGCTTAAAAGGAGCATTGAGCATACGGAAGCAATTCATTACACACATGTAGTAATACACATCCTTAAAAAGTGAATTAATACATCTTAATGCATTAATTAGCAAGAGTCTTTTGTAATAATATGAAGTGTTTTAACAATGGGAAGTTCCAAAGCCATCTTTCCTAAATTTTATCTATTCCTAGACCTTTGAATGTCCTCAGTACTGTGGAAACAAGGATGATTCTGTTTCTGGGAAGTCCTCTATTTAAACAACAAAAGGTTCTCAAGCTTGGATTTTGAAAAGAAGCTCAAGTAATTTCAGTTTTCAAAAACCACAATCAATTAAGTCCAATCTTACCAATTCTACATAAAGGAGGCTATTGTAGCCAGAAAACAGTATGACTTCAGAGTAATTTTTAAAGAACTATTACATGTATTAAATGAAGCACAATTTCTATCAGTGTCTCCTTGTAATTACCTAAAACAGTTCTGTATCTGGGGCACCTGGGTGGCTTAGTCAGTTAAGTGGCTCTTGATTTTGGCTCAGGTCATGATCTCAGGGTCCTGAGACAGAGCCCTGTCACGGGCTCCACGGGAGCATGGAGCCTGCTTAAGATTCTCTGTCCCTCCCCCAGGCATGTGCACTCTCTCTCTTTCTCAAAATAAGTAAACATTAAACAAACAAACAAACTGAAACAGTTCTGTATCTGAGACCCTTTGACCCCCACTGGGAAATTAGTATAGTCAAAATATGTCATGACTATCTCCAATTGCTATTAGCTAGCTATAGGAATTATTAAATTTATATGTAATACCTATCTTTATCTACACAGAATATCACATGACTCTTCTAGAAAAAAATGAATAATTGTAACATAGCTAATCTGATCTTGAGCTCAGAAAAAAATGACAGTGAATGCTGAAGGGGTGGGAGGGGCGGCCCAAGTGGTGGGGAAGCCATGTGCGCTGTAATACCCAATAGTCACCACAAAGAGGTGAGCATGTCACATTCAAGCCCTTGAGGTCTGACTTGTGTCTTATTTCCTTTAGAATGTGCACATTTCCACTCCTCTGTACAAACTGACCAAAAAATAACTAACAAAGAAACCATTTCATAGCTTTAACTCATTTTTAAACATTTAAAATGTCTTTTGCAGGCAAAGGCACTCCCATTTTCCTTTAATCTATGATGATTCCTTTCCTGTTCTCTCATTTCTAATTCCTTGGGAAGGAAGAAAGGTGGAAGGGGGAAAAGAGGAGTATAGTTCTTTTACAGTTGGGCAGCTAGTTAGAAATCCTTTAGTAGTTACTTTTTAATCTGGATGAAGTGTTTTTTCTGGCTTGAAAGAAAGTAATCACAAAGGTGATGTTGAGCCTTATCTCCACCCCTCCCCTAGTTTAGCCAAATATTTTCTCTATTCCAGTTCTAGCACCAGAGTGGAGGAAAGTTGGGCCATCATGTTGGGGTCCATTCTCTCTGAATTATGACACATATCACTAAATCTGCCATAAAATAAGATCAGAAGGTACAATTAACTCAGAATGGGGTATGGGTCAGAAAGTAGCTTTACAAGTTCTTTTTTTTTCCCCCCAAGAACAGACTTTCCCTCTCTCTCTCTTTTTTTTCCCAGAAAGCAAAAGAGTGCACAAGATGGGGAGAGGGGCAGAGGGAGAGAGAGAATCTCAAGTAGGCTCCATGCTGATGTGGGCCTTGATCCCACAACTCTGGGATCGTGATCTGAGCTGAAATCAAGAGTTGGAAGCTCAACCAACTGAGCCACCCATGTGCCCCATGATGATTTTTTTTTTTTCTTTGGTGAAAAGGAAATAGCACATATAAGGAAGGCTATTAATTCAATTTGGGGGTCAACTTTAATGTGATACAGATGTTTTACAAAATTCACCATTTGCTTTAAGACAGTGCACTGAGTCTCAATAAAAATCTTTCAGTTTAGAAATCTTCATGAAACCTGACAGAATTACTGGGTTAGAGGATATTTTTTATTGGATTTGGTTCATGAGTCATATCAAAAGGTCAATCCTTAAAAATGCATCACAATAGAATCATTCATCACAACAGAAATTTCCCAAAGGAAGAATGTTTTAAGAAGATGTAATCCCATTTAAAGTTAAACTAGTATAATATACACAGCAGTAGCAGGTAGACATTTTTATAAAGCAAGACAGGAGAAATAAAAACTCAAAAAACACAAGGAATACTAGTTCACAGGCACTTCAAGAATTGCCAAGTGATAAAATTATGCAAACAGAATTATATAAACATACCCAGAAAACCAAAAGGCCTAATTATAAACAAATATTATAATGCCTTTAATAAATATTAAAAATGAAAAAGTTAAATGCTTGATCCTACAACCAGATAGAAAAATTAAATTGAAGTCAATGAAGATTCATCCATACTTAGACTATGTCCCCAAATTTTTACAATTCTAGTGAGTGTAGTTGCATTCTTTTTTACTTAGCCCTCTCTTTGATTTTCTGATAGTGTTAGAATATTCCCATAAGAAAAAAATGTGAAAGAGTAAATTTAGTAGGAAAGATAGATGGTAGTAGGTTGTCCACAGTGCAGGATTTGGTATAGGAGTAAAGCCTCCCAGCAGAATAATAGTCACTGTGTGTGTGTGTGTGTGTGTGTGTGTGTGTGTGTTTAAAACTCAGAATGAGGTACTGAGAACACGGAAGCACAGAAGTTAGAAAGACCTGGGTTCCATTCTGTCTGTATCCATTGTGGAACTCAGAGAAAACTATCCCCTTCTCTCCCCATCTATCTAATGGTTATGATAAAGATTACATAATACTTAGCTCAGGGCCTGGCTCATAATAGACACTCAAGAAATGATAAATGTGGTATTGATGTCATTATTTGCTTCAGGACCTTCACCAGCAAGTGGAGAAGCCAGCAAGTGCCCAGCATAGCCCCCTCTGGTCCCTCTGCAGTGTGGGTAGGCCAGCAGCACAGGCCAGAAGGATGGCTGCAAAGGTCAGACTTGAAGCCTTGGTTTTATGTAAGCTCGGCAACATTGTCCTTTCAACTACAGTGACTGTCTTCAGGAACACGTTATGAAAATAACATCCTAATGCCCTTTGGCCTTAACAATCTGGGACCATAAGGAAGCTACCGACTCACGATCCGGTCCCTAGTCATTGAAGAAACTGTGGAGAGGACTGATGATGAAGAGCTTGTGAAAATGTCACATTTCTCTCTACATAAGAGAATTGGAAATCAGATCAAAGAAGCTGGGGAAGATCATCTCCTGGGAAATGAAAGTAAATGAGTTCTTTTAGGGCAATACTGTTTTATTTTAAAAGACAATAAACCATGATGGTTGTGAGATCAGGCTTTGGAATCAGAACTGCCGAGTTCAAATCTTGGCTCTCCCATTTAAGAACCTTGTGACTTGGCAAGTTATTTATATTTCTTTATCTGTAAGATGGATGCAATTATACATACATTTTTCATAGGTTTTATTGGAGAACTAAATTAAAAAAAAAATCCGTACAGAGCTCTTGGTCCAATGCCAAGCTCAGGAAATGTGAGCTGCTATTACCACCATCCTCCTCCTCCTCCTCTCATCTCTCCTTGTTTCCCTGTTACTGAACACAGTGTGTGGCATATTGTAGGGGCGAGACAAATGCTGGCCGCATACAAATTAAACACTAGCCTGTACATTTTAGAACCCTAAACAAATCTCAAAGGCAAATTTTGGCTATGCCTCATGTTAAAGATGAACTAATTCAAGCAAAGGCAACAGAAGCAGCAGTGAACTTTACTTGATCTTTATTTCTTTAAGCTTGCCAAAAGAATGAGACAAGTAAGCTCTAGAACTGTCTTTCATCTTTTTTTGCTGCTTTGTGGTCTCCCATCGCCTCCCCACACAGAACACTAGCTTAACAGGCAGTGTCTCGGCTACGGAGACACAGATCTAAACTGTTTAACTGGCCTGGGAAGCCAGTTCTTCCTGCTTCCCCACCGTTCCATACTCAATCGGTGGTGGGATTTGAGGCACGTATGACTGCAGCTAGCTAAGGTCACAGGGTATCCTCATGAACTTAAAGCTAATACGCTATGATTCCTTACATTCTTCCATGTAAAAAGGCAGACAGCAGCAAAGAGATCAAAACAGAGGTCACAAACTCCATGTTCAAAGTAAGCCCGCATAAGGAGGCTCAGGGAACAACTACCCACCCTGCTTAATGCAGAGAGAAAATTACTCACATCATCTGAAGCCACTAAGCCTATGGGGATACAGGGAGCTGGGCTGGGAAGGTGTTGAGCCATGTCATTTTAAAAAGTAAAAGTCACATATTTCTCTTGATCCCGTTCATTTGATCTGCCTTTCAAAGGCAGACTCTTAAGTAAAACCATTCTCTAAGTTGTCACCTGTTCCTTTAAAACACACACTAGTCAAACGGTGGAGGAAAAAGGTTCCCTCTCCAAAGTAACCCCTGATACCTCTTTCTGAGTGAATTCTGAGGTTAATTGTTAATCCTGACTTTTACTTAGTCATAACTTAGGTTTTAGTTAAACTGTACCCTCAACGGTCTGCTTCTTCTTGTATTGACTTTTCACATGAGCTACCAAGAATTCTGTGGTAGATGCTTATAACCCACCACATCTCAATGGCAAGAAAGGCACTTGGTCTGAGATTAGCTGATGTGATTCCTGAAGTATAGTTCTATTTACTTAAGTTAAGGAATCACAATTGTCAATGCTGGACTGTTTTATTCTTGTCATTTTAAAATCGAGGTTACCCACAATATGTCTGGAACTGTATTAACAAAACAATTTCATTTCCCACATTTTGGGCAACACTTTGCCTAATAAAAATGTTTGCTAAACTACCTTTTTTTGCTGATTCCTACAATGACTCTTTGCATGGACCCAAAGTTGCCAGGTGGGAATAGCCATGATTATGAACACTAGCAGCTGAACAAGGGTGAGCTTAAGGAAGGTCAAAAGGAACAGCAAGCTCATGCTCACTGATCCCTGGTACCTCTTTCTCCTTTCTCTGCATTCTAATCTATTCCTGCAGATACTAAGGTGCTTTGCATATGGGGCAAAAAGAATCACTGTAAATTAAAGAACAAAAGGGCTTTCAGCTTTAATTCCTCTGCAGCCATATTTGGGTGGAGGGTTAGAAAATAGTTAGGAAGAGGCGTTGTTAAAAATGTGAGTCTTGCATCTCTCCCTAAAAATAGTAATTTATACAGTATCTGTTCTCTGTGTCCCTTTGGGATTGTACATGATTACTCAGCTGACAGATTCTCCAAGATTAAAGCCCATTTGCTGTAACGAGAAAAAAAAAAGAGCTTTTAAACACATCTGACTTTTTAGGTTAGGCTTTTATACTGTATTAATGAAAAATATAATATAAAAATAAAAGAAAAAAATGGGTGGGAACTGATAGGTACATTTGAACTGATGGAAAGATTTCTATTTATCCTCTACCAGTAACTAAGAGACCCAAGAGACCCCATAAAAAAAAAACTCATTTAAGCCCACCATTAGGGAACCCAGGGGCAAATTCATTCCTAGTAGATCCTCCCATAACATGAGATCACAACTGCCTGCAATGACCTCTCTAAAAATGAATGTGTCCAAATGAGGTTCCAATGTCTACGTGGTAAAAAGCTGTCATTACACTTTTCCACCAGTTGATGTGCTGTATCTAAGGGGCAACAATGGAACAAAAAGCCTTTTGGTAATGGATTCCTTGCTGCGAAACTCACAACTTCAAACCTACCCCACAACTTGCTTTGCACTGGCAAAAGTGTCAAGAGATTTCCCTCTGTCTCTGTAGAATGTAAGACCTGTACTCTTTTTTTAAAAGTTTATTTATTTTGAGAAAGAGAGAGAAACAGAGAGAGAGAGAGAGAGAGATAGCGTGCATAAATAAGCTGGAGATGGGGTAAAGAGAAAGGAAGAAAGAGAGAATCCCAAGCAGGCTCTGAATTGTTGGCACAGAGCCCAATGCAGGGCTTGAACTCACAAATCCTGAGATGATGAGCTGAGCCAATATCACAAGTTGGACACTTAACCAACTGGCCCACCCAGCACCCCGACCTGTACTCTTTTAGGGTCCTCTGTATGTAACCGGAAACAACTTCTTTGAGGCTAGTTTTGAATTTACTTTCCCATGTGTTATGTGAAATATATGTTCTTTCATGATTCTAGTCAGAAATCAGTTTAAATCAGTTAACCAACATTGTGGAAACCAAGCACAAGAGATGAATATTTACATCTTTTAACTGTTTACCAAGTATTCTGTATATAATGTATGCATTAATCTAAATACCCTGAGGACAAAGCTGGTCTTAGCTATAGGCTAAAAACTTACAGTTCCACTTTCCTCAAATTCATCTGAATGGCAACTGACTTATAAATGTGTCAACTTGAGGGGTGCCTGGGTGGTTCACTGGGTTAAGTGTCTGACTTTGGCTCAGGCCATGATCTCACGGTTGGTGGGTTTGAGCCCCACGTTGGGCTCTGTGCTGACTTCCAGCTCAGGGCCCAGAGCCTGCTTCAGATTCTGTGTCTCCCCCTCTCCTTGACCCTCCCCTGCTCACACTGTCTCTCTCTCTCTCAGAAATGAATAAAACATTAAAAAAAAATTTTTTAAATAATGTGTCAATTTGAGAGAAAAGGAGGGCTTTTGCCTTTTGCTTTCTATACTTCTGTATTGCTTGAATTTTTTATAAGGATGCACTGCTCCATAACTTGTGTAATTAAATAAGCATTTAAAAAATCTTAAAAATTAGAACTGCTTAAAAATAAACAAAAAAGGGGGCACTGTGATGGCTCAGTCAGTCAAGCGTCTGACTTACACTCAGATCATGACCTTGTGGCTTGTGAGTACAAGCCCCACATCAGGCTCTGTGATGATGGTGCGGAGCCTGCTTGGGATTCTCTCTCTCTCTCTCTCTCTCTCTCTGCCCCTCCTCTACTTGCATGTGCTCTCTCTCAAAATAAAATAAGTGAATAAATTAAAAAAATAAAAATCTACAGAGAAAAATCTGAAAGGATATATTAATAGTGGTTGTTTATAGCTTCTAGGTCTACAGGAGATTTACATGCTTTGTATTGTAGCACAAAGCATAAAGTACAAATTATCAATAATTGGTCAGTAATGTTAACAGAAAAAAATAATAAAATGCTTATATCACAGAAATAAAAAAATGGAAGCTTCACAACAGCTAAACCTTCTCTTTTAACCCTCTTTCTTTTAAATAGGTTTTTTTCATATAGTTCATATTCATCTACTTTGTTAGATATTCACTCCATCATTCAAACCTATATATTTATTCCTAACTTTCCAAATAATCTACCATATCATTTTTCTCCTTCAAAAGTTCATTTCTAAAGTTTTCTAGTCATAAATGAGTAATTTTCTCTATTCTCTTAGGCCTCCTGATTCAAATTAAACAGAAACACAGTTGGCAGTAATTAAAAATAAGAGAAAACTTACAAACTGATCATGTCCTCTGGGAGTCTAGTCTGTGTGCATATGGGGGGGCTTGAAGGCAGGATTTAGGGACAAGTAGATGGAAAGTGATGGGAAGAAAGGATACAAGGAGAGCAAGAAATGTAGTGAGGAGGTGGATGGGTGATTAAACTGTATGGAACTGCCATTTACATAGGTCAAAAAGCTTGGATATTGGTAACTTAAAACGGTTCAACCAAATAACTACAATCATAATCATAATCATAATCATAATGATAGAAGGAGTGAGAAGAACATCAAAATGAGTTTTTAGAGTCCTCATTCTACCTTCCCCCTGCTTCAGTGTGTTACAGATCTGATGAGAATCTTGCAGATAAGAAATTCTACTCTATACATACCCAACTATCTGGAAGAGGCAAGTATTTCACATATTTACCTTCAAGATGGGAGCCATAAAGACTGACAGACCAGTCAGAATAAACACGAGGGTTCCAGTGACTCTTTGTTCTCTGAAACCAAATCAAAAGATTACCAATTTACTTCTTATTTTCATAAACATGCTCTTGTCTTCTCACCTTCAAAAGAGACTGCACATTGAACAAACCAACGTCTGACTAAAACAGCAAAGGTGTTGATATCTCATATAAATGAATACCTCCAGTACAGCACAGAAGCTCAACAGAACTACAAAATTTTCTTCTAACTATTGTACAATGTGATTTGAATTCATCAAGAGAAAAGTGATTCTACTAAATCCTTTGCTTCTTTTAGAATAAAAAAAAAAGTCTCTTGCTCCTGGTCCATCAATTACTGGCCTCTTCGAAGCCCTTATTTTTTAAACAACTTGTACTGTTGTGTAATTACACCTTCTTTCATGGGAGACAGATATCACATTGTCCTACATTCTAATTAACAAACAGCTCAGGGAAATTTCATAAGTGCCATAAATCCCATCAGTCAAATTTCCAAATCTACAGCACAAGAGTACTTTTTAACAAATAGGATTCCCACCCAACATCCCCTCCCTTGGCCCCCAAGAAGAATCACTCACTGCTGTGGCATGGCAAACAATGACTCTGTCCTGTGAGCTATTCACCCAAGTATTAGGAGCAGGGTTTGCTGCAAGAAGTATTCAACACAGTATAAAGGTCTTAGGCGAGCCCTTCGTGGCTACCCAGATTTAACAGCTAGAGGTCAAGGTTTCTCAGTGCTTATGCGGACAGAAAACGACTGGAAAATCAGAATTCCTTTCCCTTCACAGAATCTTAAAAATCATAAGCCGGCCCATGAGTTTTGAGGAGTCAAGAGAGCTGAGAAGTTAGTTTGGCCTTTATATAGAATTGGGATAGAGTAAGTACCACAGCACCGAAATGAGCCGCATGTTCAAGAAAATGGATGACCTGTTTGCACTTTTATGTTGCATCGTTTAGCCTTTCATTAATCAAAAGAGATTTATGTAACACAAGAAGTGAATTTGAAAAATTATTGAAGACTTTCTTCTAATGAAAATTTAGTCTTTTCTGGAACAGCAAGTACAGGAATAAATTAATCATCACCAGCCTTTTCTCCTCCAATTTTGCTCATTCCCTTTGAACGACACATAGATGTGGCACCATGTGTTTTGCAGAGCCATTTTCCTCTGACTTAACATACCTCACTCCTAGAAACTTTGGTTGTTCTCCAGGTGCAGAAGTCTCGGTCTCCATCTTCAAACTGTCGATGTGAGCAATGGAAATGACAGTAGCAGCCACATACCATGGAAGAGCCATGAAAGAGCACACCACCATGAGGATGGCCACCCAGAAGAGATCCAGGTGATATCCAGCTCCCTTCTGTAGAAAGAGGTAACAAAACCACATGGAGAAGATGCTCATGTTTCTATCTTGTCCTATTTCCAGATGGGAATTAAGATTACCAAATAACCCCAACACTCACTGCTTGCTAAAAATATCTACCTCACAGTCAGCTCCTCAAAGAAGGGGGCTTTATCTTCCTCATATTACCTTCCCCCCACCAATTAAACACAAAGCTGCCACGTGACACCTCCTCTAGCCCGACCGTGGTCACAGCTTACTTATTGCTAATTATCCTCTCTGTATCCAATTTTGTAATCAGAAAAATGGAGCTATAGATCTACCTTGAAGAGTTACTAGAACCATTCAGTGAAGTAACAGTAGGATCTTAAAAGATAGTGGTTCTTGCATAGTAGGAGCTCAAAAAACAGTGATGGGAGTGGTGGTGGCGGCGGCGGCGGTGGTTGTTAACAAAGTACAACAGGCATCTTAAAGGCAGGCACTAATCCTTCTGTGCTTGACTGTTTAGCAATATGCTCTTCACTTGGACGGTATTCAGAATATGCAGACCAAAGATCTAAAAGCAACCTTGAGAAGGTATGTCTAAGACTATTTCTCACTTTTCATGGTATATGGAAATAATTGTTTAATAACCTAGTAACCATTATCATTAAGGTAACTAGTACCTCCTTCATCAGAAGAGGCTGACTTCAAACACTGCCCAATGGTCACGATAACATTTACTGACTGGAAAAGCAGACGATATAACAAAAGGTCTAGTTCTTTTCTTCACTAAATAAATATTGTTAAATGTGTCCACAGTGTTATTCTGCGGTTATATTTCTCTGCTCTATTTATGAAGAAATCAAATGCTTAATACCCCTATGGAGCCTGAGAAAATAAAGCAGTCCATTTTCACAGCATGTAAGCAGCAGCACCAAGGGCCAGAGTACCACCAATCTGAGGGAATAGAGACGCTGACTTTACAAAATGAGAATGTGATTTACACCAGGAACCTGGTGACTGTTATCATTTGGATCCTGTTACACTTAGAACACTGCTCTCCTCTCACTGAAATGCCAAGATTTCACCCCTGGCTCGCAAACATGGGTCTAATCATGATCTCAAAGAACTCACCACAAGCAAGGGTAGCATTGACACAAGAAAGAAGAACATATATTGACTTAGCCCAGGTTAGACTATGAACAAAGTATCCTTGGGAGACAAAGGATAAAGCCAATTCATTTCAGTACAAATGGTCTGAAAGCACAGGGTTTGAATTGGGAGTGAAATAAGGTAGGGGAAAGGAGAGCAAAGGGTGGGGATGAGCTAAAATAAACCTGTTCAACAGTAACTAATGAAGTGAGGATCATAATACATCTGGGTCTTGGTCATTTCATTCCGAAGAAATACTGACTACCAACTTATTTACAGGCACAGTACTGGGATTCTGGCTATACTTAAGGTGGAATATATAGGATTTGTTCACTCCTGCCTATGGATGTATCTTATGACCGAACTATAGATCATTCATGATCTAGCCTCTGTCCACATCTGCAGCCTCATCTTTCACTTCACCCCTGCTGGCTTCTATACGATGGCCTCTTTCAACCATATGCAATTCCTTCAGTATGTCTTACATACTAATGCCTTTGTGTCTTTGTCCATATAGCACCCTTTCCCTGGAATAACCTCTACTCTTCCTTCTTCTTACCTTGAATCACTCCTACTCATCCTTAAGACTTAAATCAGCCTTCAGCTTTTCTGGTAGTTTTCCTGCCTCAGCCCAGGTGAGATATGTAAGTCCAGTAAGGATAGATTTCCTCCTCTATGTTCCCTGTCATTTTATGCTTTTCTTTCCCAAAGTGCTCCTCACCAGTACTGTTTCGAAATTACATGTGTATTTATCTGTCTTTGGCATTAGACTCCAAGAAACAGGAAGACCTGGACTATGTCTATTTTTCACTCTATCCTGAATACTTGAGTGCATGATTCATAGTCAATTCTCAATTAATATTTACCAAAAAAATGAATGACAAATAGCATGTATACATTCTTCTGAATGGCAACTATAGACTCTTAATTAGCCATATAAAAAATTAAACCTTTATTTGTTAATTGGCAGAAAGGTGAATCACCTGGGGAGAGAGAGAAAGGGAGGTGGACAAGAGCTGGAAATATCACATAGTTTCAAGCCCTATTTAGACTAAGTCACTCAATACCATATTGAAGGTACCAAACTGGTAATTAACAGCGAGGATCCCCAAATCAAGGAAACTGTAACAACCTGAGGTTAGATCAATGGGTCAAAGAACAGTTGTTGCAGACAAAGTCATGTGGGCTACCGTGAGCTAACTCCATGCTTTCTTGCTCTATCTGAACAAAAACAAAAGTTTGAATTAGATGTCCTGGAGACTAAGGCACCACATAATACCAAAGAGGGCAAAATTAGGATTGTAGAAAGTAGAATACAAAGGAAGCTATGCAAAACCACCAAAATAAATAAAAGTTCTGGGAGAAAGTAATTATAGATAATAATTACTGTGTGCCTTGACATCACTCTCCTCCAACAGTCTTCCTTTCCCTCAACCATACTGAGAGCTCTTGATGCTCTCAAGAGGAAGGGGAAATAATCAGTGACCTGAAGGCCCTGCCAGGTCTGTCTCTGAGCGGTTCCCTCTCCATCCTCAACTCTCCCTCTCTCATGCAGCCTCACTGGGTTATATCAGGCCTTCATTCCTGTCACGCTACTTTCTCTCGTAAGGCCTGTGCACACACAGTGATTCCTGTGCCTGAATAGAATACTCTTTCCACCCAGCCTCATCTAGCTAATTCCTACTAATGCTTGAAGCTCAGTGTAAGAGCCACTACAGTTCCTGAAGAGAGCCACACCCTCTCTTATAGACTCTTAAAGCATCATCACCTCTCCTTCACAGAACTAGCCACATTTGCACTGTCACATTTTGCATCATTATTTGAATAATACCTAGCATCCTGAGGGACCAGAAGCTCTGCGAGGACAGGGACCATGTGTTTTTGTTCACTACCATTGAAACCCCAGAACCTGGCGTAGTACCCATCATAGAGTAAGCAGTCTAGGTAAATGTTTGTTGGATAAAAAGAGTATCCAATGGAAACAAGACAGCCTCTTTAACAGATGGTGCTGGGAGAACTGGACAGCAACATGCAGAAGAATGAAACTAGATCATTTTCTCACACCATATACCAAAATAAACTCAAAATGGATAAAGGACCTGAATATGAGACAGGAAACCATCAAAACCCTAGAGGAGAAAGCAGGAAACAACCTCCTTGACCTACACCACAGCAATTTCTTACTTGACACATCCCCAAAAGCAAGGGAATCAAGAGCAAAAATGAATTACTGGAACCTCATCAAGATTAAAAGCTTCTGCACGGCAAAGGAAACAATCCACAAAACGAATAGGCAGCCGACAGAAAGGGAAAAGATAGTTGCAAATGACATATCAGATACAGGGCGAGTATCCAAAATCTGTATGGAACTCACCAAACTCCACACCCGGAAAACAAACAATTCTGTAAAGAAATGGGCAGAAGAAATGAACAGACACTTCTCCAAATAGGACATCCAGATGGCCAACAGACACATGAAACGATGCTCAGCATCCCTCCTCATCAGGGAAATACAAATCAAAACCACACTCAGATACCTCCTCATACCGGTTGGAGTGTCTAAAATGAGCAAATCAGAGGACTCTAGATGCTGGTGAGGATGTGGAGAAATGGGCACCCTCCTACACTGTTGGTGGGAATGTAAACTGGTGCAGCCCCTCTGGAAAACTGTGTGGAGGTTCCTCAAAAAATTAACAATAGAACTCCCCTATGACCCAGCAATAGCACTGCTAGGAATTTACCCAAGGGATACAGTAAGTAAGGGGCACATGTATCCCAATGTTCATAGCAGCACTCTCAACAATAGCCAAAACATGGAAAGAGCCTAAGTGTCCATCAACGGATGAATGGATCAAGAAGATGTGGTTTCCTTTATACAATGGAATACTACATGGCAATGAGAAAGATGAAATCTGGCCATGTGTAGCAACATGGATGGAACTTGAGGGTGTTATGCTGAGCGAAATAAGTCAGGCAGAGAAGGACAGCTACCCGATGTTTGCACGTATACGAGGATTAGGAAGAACTCAATGGAGGACTGTGGGGGGAGGAGAAAGGGGGAATACTGGGGGAGAGGGAGGGAGGCAAACCATGAGAGACTCTTGAATGCTGAGAACAAACTGAGGTCTGATGGGGGTGGAGGGGAGGGGAAGGGGGGTGATGGGCATGGAGGAGGGCACTTGTGGGGATGAGCACTGGGTGTTATATGGAAACCAACTTGACAATCAACTACTAAAAAAATGTTTGTTGGATAAATAAATGATTGTTAATTCATTCATTCAGTGACACTCTGCTAGATCCTGGAAGTAAAATTACAGATAAAATACAATTTTTGCCCTCAAGTGGCTTATAATGTAGTGCTAGAGCTGGATAAATGAAGAGGCATTTCCAATACCACAGTGTTCTATAGTTGGGGTGAGCTTGGAGTGTCATGGGAGCATCCAGAAAGGTTACCAAGTCAAAGACAGTTTGCTTAGGAGGTGGTATTTAAGCTGAGTCCTAAAATGTGAGCTATAACTAGCTGGGAGGCAAGATTCAGGGAAGCAGGAGACAAAAACTAGACAAATAAGCTGCCATTTTGAGAAGATGAAACAGTTTGTGCATACAAGGAGATGGGAGAGGTAAGGAATAAGGCTACCGAAGTTAAAAAACTTTGATGTTTTGCTAAACACTTTGGAATTTTTATCATAAGAGCAATGTGAAACCATTAGAAGTTTTTAAGCAGGCAAGTGATATGACCAGATTTCTGTTGAGAAGGATGGCTCTATTGTTTTGTAGAGGACATACTAGAAGTGGTCAAGATTGGAGGCAGAGAGTACAGACATGATAGGGTAGCCCAGGCCCGAGATGGCACAGTTCCCACTAAAGTAATAGGGCAGGTGGGAGAGATTTTAAGGAGACTGAGTCCAAAGAGGAAAAAACAATGTATCCTGCCAAATTTCAGGCTTACAATGTGTATCCAGTACAGCATCCTACATACAGTAAACACTGGAGACATAACTCTTGACTAGAATGGTAAAAGCTGCACTAAAAAAATTCATGGTGCCCCAACTATTGCCATAAAGACCCAGAACCCAAATGGTTATGTTAGAGAAGTTGTTCCTGCAAAACAAACCTATCCATGTGACAACAAGCCAACTCTAAAATGTTTCTTTTAGCCAAGGTATCTGAATAACTAGATTTGAATGGAATGAAAATAACATTCAAATATTAGCACTTTTTTTTAAATGTTTATTTATTTATTTTGAGAGTAAGAGCAGGGGAGGGACAGAGAGGGAGGGAAAGAAAGATTTCCAAGCAGGCTCTGCACTGGTAGCTCCAGCACACGAAACAGGAGATCACGGCCTGAGCTTCAATCAAGAGCCAGACACTTAACCAACTGAGCCACCCAGGCACCCCTCAAATACTGGAACTTTAAAAATATTTTTTGTAATGTTTTATTT